AACAATCCCCCTAAAAATGGATTCTAAAGGCAGGTGGTGACTCCATCCAGCAGCCACTTCAGCAGCACTGAAGGAACAAAGTGCTGGTTCTCCCCAGGTTTGTTTTTGGAAGCAACATCACAACACCCACCACTCCTCCTGCTCCAGAAACACCCTTTTGTCTGCCTCCTCTGAAATAACAGTAGCTATTTACAACAGCTGCCACTACACAAGCAAGAACAAGCCAAATCAGTGCACCCTCACTCCTGAATTTTAATAACATCCTGTCTTTTTTTCCCCATCCACAACCTGCATATTCCCCCCAAACCGACCCTAACTCAAATATATTCATTCCCAAAAAAAGCTCTTGGAGGCAAAAGGTTTTGTCTTCTCCTTCCAGCCAACACATTAGACAGCTGGACATTAGTTGGCTGTAATTGATTAGAGAGTTTGTGATTTAATTTAAAAGCATTCGAGAGCAGATATTAATCTCAGAGGTCTGAAGGGGAGAGAGACAAGCTGGGGAGAAAAATAGATTTAATTCCCTGGGCAACTGTACTAAAAGGTACCCTGGAATTCCCAGTAGCTTTGACACAAACCACATCCAGAAGTGACAGAGAAGTGGGATAACGTGGCAGCACCATCTCCCTCACTGAGTGTTTTTACAGCAAGAAACCTTAATTCCACTGGAGAGGGCTTAATTCCTCCTCCTTGCCTCATTTGTGAGGTATCAGGGTCACACAGATGAACCCCCAGCACAGGCTGGGATATCTGGGGTGGCCTGTGCAGGGCCAGGAGCTGGACTCGATGATCCCTGTGGACCCAGCCCAGGATATTCCAGGATTCTGTGCAGATCCACAGCTCCAAGTGGCATAAATTTGATTTATCTGAGCAGGTGGGACCTGCTCCAGCGGTGTGTCCCCACCAGCTCCTGTCCCCAGCGAGGTCCAACTCCATCAGCCCAGCAGAGAGGGGTGATCCAAGGGGAGAAAGGAGGGAGCAGTGGCTGCTTTGCCTTGGAATTACCTTCCTCACACTCAACTCCACGAAACCAGTAGCTGGAAAAAATCTCCTCATGGATGAGTCTGGGTTTAAAGGTGAACCAGCTCATCCGGCTTCCAGTCAGGGCCGAGAGAAAAACATCCAAATTCTTCTGGCTTGGTTGGTTTGTTTATTTTGAACTCTCCAGGGCAGAGGAAGATTCCAGGCTCCCTGCCCCATTTAACAGGGTTCAAAGCTGGGAATTCCTTCCTTGCCTCAGCTAAATTAACTCAATCTCATTAAACTCTGCTGGTCAAGGGATTGTTCCCTGAGCGGTGAATCAAACATTATCCAGCTGACCATCTGGATATCTGCACTGAGCTGGTCTCAGCTAATAGACTGGGAAGAAGTTAGAAGTTACAAAGGGCCGGAAACCCAAAATCTGTAGGGATTTGTTCTCTGTTTTAAGGTGCTGAGAGGTGTTACCTGCACTGCAATCCAGCTGGCGTTCACAGCGTGCTCTCCAAAGGGCCCGAACCCTGCAAGAGAACAGAAACCCACCCTGGTGAGGTCACTGTCACAGCTCTGACTCCACTCCAAGTTGCAAAAAGGTTTGTGCTTTCCTAGTTCAGACATCCTGAAAGAAACCCCCCACTTTTACCACCCAAGCATCGAATGAGACACCTGCACGGAAATATTTCAACTGCAACCTTGTGCAGTGAAGGAAACCAAGAACTTGCCCCAAAAGAACCTTTTTTTTTTTTTATTTCCCCCAACAGACATTTGGGAAGAAGATTTTCTTTTTCCTTCCTGCACAGGTTAGAAAAACTTGTTATCAAAGAGGACTTGCTATCAACAGAGGACTTGGTGTCAGGGGATTAAATCATGATTGGATATTTCTATTCCTGCTTGCTTTAACCCACAGCAGATGCCTCCACAAGCCTTCCTCAAATGTTTTTTCTCCCCTAAAGTCTTCTCCAAGATCTTCATTAGCACTAATTACACCTCACAAGGAAATAATCAGGACTGTTCACAACCCACCTACCCCGAGCAGCAGAGGTTACAGTGGCATTATCAAAAATACCTCCTCACCACCTCTGAATCCCTAATGGATAACTTTGGAGTTAACTGGTGATCCATAACATCTTCTCCTGAGCAAGCACACAAAGGTTGGGCAATTTATCTGGGCGTAATGTCGATATGCTTTAATTTACAATGTCAGCATTGCCCTCTGAGCTTAATGCAATTAGGAGACATAAATTCTGCCCAGCTCCTGAAAGGATTCGAGAGGGACCACAAATATTAAGTGACACCTTAATGGAAATGCTGTGTTTGCCGTCAGCAGCCAGGCTGAGGTGATGCTGCACACGAGGAATTCACACAGCGCTGGCTCGTCCACGCCCGTGGATCAAAACCCCACGCTGGTATCTCCCCAAAATAAATATTCCCACAAAACCAAAGTGTCGGTGTGTTTTCCCGTTCAGCAAAACTCCAAGGCTGTAACACAATCTACGACTGCAGCACAGGGGGTTAAGGCAAATTAATGCCTTTTCAGCTGTTTCTGCAAGTCCTACACAACCCTCTGAAAACAAACACCCCAGCCTGCTGGCTTTAGTTCCGAAACAAAGTGCAACAACCTCACAAAATAAATAAAATATGCATTTTAACAACCCAGCCACCGAAAGGCTGCAATTCTACAGGTGTTCAAGGCACACAACACAACCCTCTTGCCCCGAACCCAAAGGAAAACTGGCACAAGCACAAGCAGGGGGGTATCACTGCCGTGACTCATGCCCTGCCCAGATCCCTGGAGTTATCCCTTCCGTGGGGGATAAGGAACTTTGTGGGCACGTCCGACCCCTGGGAGCACATCCACCCTGCAAGGCTCATTAGCAGCGAACCAGCTGCAGGGATCGTGACGGGATTATCTCCTTAACGAGTTCTAAAAAAGAAATTGTGCACAAATAACACTTATCCTCGGCCAGCACAGCCTCAGGAACCGAGCAGGAACGAGACACCGGCCCTGGTCTGAACAGGAATTTAACGTGACATCGATGACATTATCAAAAGAGGGGCAGAGCTGTGTTTTGTAACCAGACTTCCCCGAAAACGGGGAGGGGAAAAAAAAAAAAAAAAAAAAAGAGCCCGGAGAAGCCTTGCAAGCAGCAGAACATTCCCCGACACGCGTTTTCTGTTTAGTCACCACTGCCCCGCGCTGGATCCGGGGCTGGGAAAGGGAAGGATCCGCCACCTGCTTCTCCTCTCCCCACAACTGTTCCCTGCAAAGACACTTTTGCCTCCCATCTCAGCCGCCCCAGCCGAGCCCCCGCCATTCAAACGGCCTCAACTTCAGCTGCTGGGGAGGGAGGGGGGGAGACCTGAATAGTTTCAGGCGAGTTCCCCATTTGTCACAGAACGGCCTCACCCACAAATCACCCCGAGCGGCCTTTGTACCCCGGGGAAGAGCCTGACAGCGCCGGGGCCCCTCGTTCCCTGCCTTATTCTTCCCTCAGGGGCTTCTGCCCTGCTGAGGAAAGGGGGGTGGGATTTGGGGAGCAGCTTCCACACCTCGGTGGCTGGGGATGGGGTGCTCAGCGAGCAAATCCCATTCCTTCCGACCCTAAATTGGTTCTTCCCGCTCCTCGGCAGGCTCGGTTCCTGACTTTCCACAACCAGTAAAACCCCTGGGAGGGGGCTCAGGGATGGAAAAGGGGGAGCCAAGTCCCCGCTGCCTGGGCACAAGTGTTAGGAAAGCTGCTGCAAAGCCCCTCAAGCACGGGATCCCCCCAGCTCCTGACACCCCTCACACGTAGCAGTCCAGCCCCAAAGCCCCCCAGACCCTGCCCTCCATCCCCGGGGCTCCTGTTTGTCACCCCAAAACAGGTAGAGCCCCTGCAGACAGCCCCCCAGGGACAGCTTCCCCCTCTCCATCCCCTCCTGATGGGACAGCTGACTCCCAGCTCCTGGTCACACTCTCCCCTCCCTCACCTCGGGGAAGGGGTCCCCCAGCTACCTCCCCCTCCTAGACCCCTTTACATCAGGGAGGGGGTCCTCAAACCTACTCTCCCCACCAAGCCTCCCTCGCCGCAGGAAAAAAGTCCCCAAAACCACTCTCCCCTCAATCCTCTCCCACCTGCCTCCCTTCAGTTCCCCTCCAAGGGTTGGTTCCCTCGTCTGCCTCCCCCAAGCCCCCCTCACTTTGGGGAAGGGGTCCCTCACCTGCCCCCCTCCTGTCCCCCTCCAAGGGTTGGGTCCCTCACCTGCACCCCTCACCTTAGGGAAGGGGTCCCCAAACCCACCCTCCACCCCAAGCCCTCACTCACCTCGGAGAAGGGGTCTCTGACCTGCCCACCCTGCGCTCCCTCTTCACCTCGGGGAAGGGGTGCCCCATCCCGTCCCCCCCCCTCCCTGAGAGGATTTATCCTCTCAGCACAGCCCCATCCTCCCAGAGTCGCCTCGTACCCGTCACCACCACCGCCCGCCGCGGCTTCTCCATCGCGGCTCCGTCCCGTCCGTCCCGTCCCGTCCCGTCCCGCCGCCGCCGCCACCGCCCCGCACTGAGCGCGGCCCCGCCCCGCCGCTCCCGCCCCGCCCCGCAGCGCCCGGACCCGCCGCTTCCGCCGCCGCGGCGGAAGTCCCGCCGCGGGCCGGCCCCGAGAGCCCTTCCCTGCTCACCGGTCACCGCTCCCCGTAGCCCCAGGGAGTGCGGGAGGGGGGTGGTGTCGGTTCACCGTGAGCCCAGACGCGCCCGCGGGCGGGGGGGGCGTTGGTTCAACGAAACGCTCATCCTGAGCCCCCGCCGGGGGGCTCCCCGCGCGGCTGTGCGGGAGCTCGAACCGCGCGGTACCGGAGGGGTCCGCCCGGTCCCTCCCGCCCGGTCCCGGTCCCGTCCCAGGCGGCGCCGCCGCGAAGGCGCGGCCGGACCCGGGCGGCGCGGCCGGGGCCGAGTCCGCCCCGCGCTGATTGGCTGCGGCGGGGCCGCGCCGCTCGCTGATTGGTCTCGGCGGGGCCGCGCCGCGCGCTGATTGGCCCGGCGCGGAGCCGGGGGCGGTTTGAGCGGCAGCGCCCGGCGCGGCGGCGGCTCTGCGGGACCCGCACGATGGTGAGCGCCGGCGGCGGCACCGGGCGGGCACGGCCGGGGCGGGGCGGGGGTGGGGAGGGGGCTGGAGCTCCGGGGAGGGCCTGGGGCATCTCTCCCCTGCCCGGTGCCCCGCTCGGTGCGCGGGTGGGCGCGTCGGTGGGTCCGCCGGCGTCGCTCGGTGCCTGAGGCCTGTCCCCTCTGTTCCGCTCGCAGCTGCCTCTATCGCTGCTGAAGACGGCGCAGAACCACCCCATGGTGAGTACGTGAGTACCGGACACGATCCCGCCGCCCCTCCCGGCCTCGGTGGCACCGGGGGCAGGTCCCGGTACCGGCGTGACTCGTGTTCTCTCGCAGCTGGTGGAGCTGAAGAACGGGGAGACCTACAACGGGCACCTGGTGAGCTGCGACAACTGGATGAACATCAACCTGCGCGAGGTCATCTGCACGTCACGGGTAAGGCCGGGGTCACCCTGGCACTGGACAGGGACCACCACCCTCTGTGTCCACAGGGAACACCCAGCACCGGGCAGGGGTCACCCGGCCGCTGTGCCCCCAGGAACCATCCCCGAGGGATCCTGACCCCTGTCCCTGCAGCCAGGCCAGCTCTGCTGTAGCTCAGAGGCTGTTGCTCCTGTGGAAGTGTGACTGCTGCCCTTAGTTAATTATAAGATCCATAACAAAGGAACACACTGGGGCGGGGTGACTCCCTGCACAGCGCAGAATGAGGGGCTGGGGGGTCCCTCGCCCCCCTCAGTGAGGGTCTGGGGGCCACATGCCATGATCCTGAGCCGGGTTTCCCAAAAAATTGCAGCCTTCCCCCGTCACGTGCTGCCCCAGCAGCCTCAAACAAAAAGTGGCAGCGGGATGGATATCAGGCTGTCACTGCTCTTTCCCCTGCCCTGGAATATCAGAGCTCCATGGGAGAGACTGGCAGGGGTCCTTGTTCTTCCAAAAATCTCTCTGCAAACCCCCCCAGTTCCTGTTGTCTCCACAGCAGGAGTTCGGAGTGGTGTTGATGGAGGCACGTCAGCGTGCCGGAGGAAACACCCTGAGGTTTGGGGTGGAATAGGGCGGGTTTGGAATTTGTGGGTGCACCTTGGGTCACGGTGGGACAAGTTGAATTTAGCAGGAGAGGGACTAGAGGAGGTAACAGCAGAGCCCATGACAGGGGTGATGCCATCCTTCTCCTTGGAAATTCACTCCTAAAGGCTCGGTGCTGTGCCTGGGAAGAGCAGCAGCTCAGGTTTTGTTCCCTCTGGGTGGCCTGGAGGTATCACCCAGAAGGACATGGACCTGTTGGGGTGAGTCCAGAGGAGGCCTCCAAGATGATCAGAGGGCTGGAGCAGCTCTGCTGGGAGGAAAGGCTGAGAGAACTGGGATTGTTCAGCCTGGAGAAGAGAAGGTTTTGGGGTGACCTCATTGTGGCCTTGCAGAGCCTGAAGGGGTGACAAGAAAGATGGAGAGGGACTATTCCCAAGGGCCTGGAGGGACAAGGACAAGGTGAAATGGCTTCAAACTGCCAGAGAGTGGCTTTACATGGGATATTGGGATGGAATTTCTCCCTGTGAGGGTGGGGGGGCCCTGGCACAGGTTGCCCAGAGAAGCTGTGGCTGCCCCATCCCTGAAAGTGTTCTAGGCCAGGTTGGATGGGGCTTGGAGCAACCTGGGCTGGTGGAAGGTGTCCCTGGTTGGACTGGGTGGGCTTTAAATCACTCCCAACCCAAACCATTCCATGTTTCCCTGATTCCACGATCTGGCCCAGGAAAGCAGGCGGGCTCACCACCCTCAACCCACCTTAACGCACCAACCCCCCCCTTTCCCAAATCCCAGATGAACAGGGAGCTGCGGGGTTGCACTGGTGGCACTGGTGGCACTGGCCACTAGATGGCACGGAACAACGAGCCGGGAGCCGGTTGTTTACTCCGGGGAGGCCGGAACGAGGAAGCAGAGGAGCCTGTAAAGCCTGGGTTCCATCCCTTCCTGCATCCCGAGCCAAGGAAGCAGCCAGGCAGATCCAAGGCAGGGTGGGGTTTGCCGGGTGTCTGTTGGAAGAGAACTGTTGCTCTCTGTCTTGTCCTGGACTTGCCTGTACAGGCAGAGCTGCCCCAAATAACTCCTGGGGCGGGGTGAAGGGGGGGGGGGAAGCGACTGTTTTATCCTGGGAAAGGAGGAACGGGGCGTTCTGCTTTCTCCTCCTCTCCTGGGACACGGCAGGCGCCTCGTCCACGTGGTGCCACTTGAGGATGGCTGGGCTGGAGGGGTCCCAGCTGCAGCCAGACCCCCACAGAGCCGCTGCGGAGCTGGGAATGCGATCCTGGCGCGGGACGAGGCGGGTCCCTGTCCCTCCTCCCAGTTACATCATGGCCAGAGAGTTGTTGTTCAGCTTCGGTGCTGGATTCTCACTCCCTGATGGGTTGTGTCCTAGGGGAAGCCTGTTGTATCCCAGGAAAACCCTGAAACAACAAAAAGTGACATACAGAGGTGGCTCCTTCGAAACCGTGCACCTGAAGGCTCTTTTTTTTGGTAATAAATGTGTAATGTGTGAGCTCCTTTTTTCCCTCAGCTGCTCTGGTGGCTCACACCCCACAGCCAGCTGGCTCCAGACCTGCCTTGCTGCTCCCTCCACACCCCAGAGGAGTGAAGGTTGGGGTGACTCCCAGCTGGAAGAAAAACCCAACCCTGGCTGCCTCTTTTCTTCCCAGAATTGGTTGTTCATCAGCATTTTAACTCTCCATGCTTGTGCCTCTCTGGTCCCACTTTCAATTACCTTCCTGTACGAGGAGGGAAGGAGGTGCTTGTTTCCTTCCTCACCCTCTTCTCCCTTCATTTTCTGCCAGTGTTTGAGGTGCAACAAAATCTTTGTGTGTCCCTTCCAACTCAGAATATTCCGTGGAATTCCGAGATTGAGACTGGAGTTGTTTGTGGCCCCGGGTTGTGTTTTGGGGAGGAGAAGCACCCCCTCTTTTCACAGCTAGTCACGAATAATGCTCTCAGCACAGACTGATGGAGCTCTCCCTCTCTCCAGGAGTGATGGAAACGCTCAGATGCCCTAAAAAGTGACGCGAAAGCGCCGGGTTTTGTCCGTGGCTTTAACGTGTTGCCCCCCCCCCAACAGGATGGAGACAAGTTCTGGAGGATGCCGGAGTGCTACATCCGCGGCAGCACCATCAAATACCTGCGGATCCCCGACGAGATCATTGACATGGTGAAGGAGGAGGTGGTGTCCAAGGGCAGAGGCCGGGGCGGGATGCAGCAGCAGAAGCAACAGAAGGGCCGCGGGGTTGGAGGAGCCGGCCGAGGTAACGATCCCAGTTTGCTTCCCAGCTCGGAGAGGGGGCCGAGCAGGATCCCTGCCTTTGGGATGTCACCTCTTGTGCAAGGAGCAGCTCCTGCTTCTCGGCTCCAGAGCCAGGGCTGGGGCTGGGACAAGCTGGAGCCGTTCCTGTGCGGGATCCAGTCGAGCGAGTGCGTAAGGGCAGCGTCTGCCAAGGCACAGGGAGGATCCGTGCCAGGGATGGGCCTCCCTCGGTTCTGGGGTTGGGCAGGAGCTTAAGAGAGTCTGAACTTGATTGTTTCTACCCCTCCTGGCTCGTTTGGCAGCAGGGCCCTGCAGAAATTTTCAGCTTAGCAAGTCCAGGGAGGGGGGAAACAAATGGCTGCTCTGGGTGAAAACAGTGAAAACACAGCAGGCTCTGCCTGTGGCAGTGATAAAAAAAAAAACATCTTCTCTCCCCTTAAAAATGGGGCTTTGGATCTCCCGTCAATTTATTTATATTAAAAAACAAAACAAAACAACCCAAACAAACAAAAAACTGAGGGTTTGGAGGGTTTGTGTTCCTCCTGCTCCACATGAATAATTCATGTTCCTGATAAAAGGGGATGTTGCCACTTCAGAAGAAATAGGTCACCAAAACAACATTCCTATTTCACAGGGGTTAAGGGATCCCGGAGCACTTCAGCTGGAGGACACCTTGTTCTTTTTTTTCCTCCCCCCAAATTATCCCACTGGAAGCCTCAGAACCATTTTCTCTCCTTTCCTGCCACACCTTTGAGGGTTTGGGGTCACCTCGCAGCCCCTGGGGCTGCTCTTGGGGCTCCGCCTGCACTGGGAGCTCAAAATCCCGAGTTAAATTTTCAAAGGAGCTCTGGGCACTGGGACACCAAGGGCTGAAGCCTCTCTGCAGCACCCTTAAGGACCTGCCTGTGTTTTGACTATGCCAGGAATCCTGGCAGGGCAGGTGGGATCCACCCAGGGCCACCACACCGGGACGGGATCAGCCGTTCCCAGGAGCTCCTTTTCCCCAAATCCCTGCGATCCCTGTTCCCTCCTGGAGGCTCCCAGCGTGCAGAAGTGACCTTTACAAATCTGAAGGCTCCTTTTATTTTCCCCCCTCCTTCCCTTTGCAGTGTCCAGAGCACTTGGCAGGGCGGTTTTTTTGGATTTTTTTTTTTTTTTGGGGATATGGTTATTCAGATAAATGTTTTTACGGCTCTGGTATTTTTCTCTGCCGTGGAAATGTGGAAATACCCACCTTGTGGGGAGCAGAGCCGAGCTCTGAGGTGGAGCTCCTGCTGTTTTCCTGCGTTGCAGCTTAAATTCGCTGATGGAATATTTTCGAGCATTTGCTAATTAGCTCAAAGGTTTGGCTCTCATTACTGAGACATGAAGGGAGGAGGGAAAGGGGAGGGGGGGGGAAAAAAAACCCAACAACCAGGCAGGACAATTTTGTTGGGAGGCCACCAGGCAGGAGCTAAGCTGTAATTGTGCACACACTTGAAAGGATTATTGTTTCTGACACTGGTATTCCTTCGCCTTGGACTTCTTGCTTGCCAAACTCAGAAGTCCAGGGTCTGTGCTCCAGGAGCAGCTGGGACGTCCCAAGCACTGCAGGGTTCGGACTCAAAAAGTCCTGTTTCTGTTTCTCAGATTCAAAAATAAGGGTGTATTTGGGTAAAACAAGAATTGTGTGCCAGGGATGCTGTTACATCCGTGCTCTTCCCTTCTGCTCCGCAGGTGTGTTTGGTGGCCGTGGCAGAGGAATTCCAGGCAGTGGAAGAGGCCAGCAGGAAAAAAAGCCAGGCAGACAATCAGCCAAGCAGTGAAATGTCTGCACCCAGGCCAGGGACAGTTTGGGTTTTGTCACCTCAGGATTTGCCACGTGTTCAAAAAACGTTCCCTCTCCCACTCTCCTGTGAGTCAGTCAGAGCCCAGATCACGTTCATTTGGAAGCCCCTCCTGATTTAATCTGATCAAGTGGAGTTTTCACTCCTTGTAAGTCAGTAAGTCTTTAGAAATATTTCTTAAAAAAAAAAAAAAAATCATTCATGGTTAAGGACTGAAGTTCTGAATTTTTCAGGGTTGCCAGGTTTAATTTAAAATATTATCCTGTTCAGAGGTACCAGAATGGAGGCAAACAGACACTTTCTGGGTTGTTTGGAATTTTTGTGTGTGTTTTTTTTTTAATACTTGAAACTTGGGAAACGTGTTTGTAAGAGATGTGTGAGAACACTGAACATGAGGATATTGTGTCTGTACACGAGAGGTCTTAAAGGTTTGGGGTTTTCTAAAGCCACCAAACCTTTAAACTATTGCTTTTCTTTTCCTGGCCAGTCAGTTCTGTCCCTCCTATGGCTTAAAGGAGAACTTGGGGTGAACATTGGCCTTCAAGGGTTGTTCCCAAGAGAGCTTTGTGATAAATGAGCGTTTCCCAATTAGGTTCATTGCTAACTTGACTTGAGATTAGAAGTTTCCTTGAAAGGAACAGGTTTTCTGTGTTGGTTTTTTTTTATTATTTGCATGAGGCTGGTGCTCCCCTCGCTCCTCATGGGTGATTTTTTTTTTTTTTTTTAATTTTCTGAAAAGCAACCGAGTTGATTTACGTGGATTGATTTCCCTCCCGCTTCGAAAACTCCCCCCTCCCCTTTTTGCTGTGACGCCAAGTCCTGAACTCTGACAATATTTCTCAACCTGATTTCTTCCAGTACCTGACCTGAACTGGGTGTACCTGGCACTTCCTTTCCCAGTCACCAATTATCTTCCCTTGGGGACACAGAGCAGCGTGTCCCTCCTGTAGGCTCAGAAAGCTCCTGGGAATTCCCAGGTCGGGTTGCTCCAGTCTTCCATCCCATCAGCAAAATACCCTGGCTGCTGATAGTAATTGAACATCTGCACAAGGGGAGGAAACAGCTCTGGGTGAGCCTCAACCCCCCTGAAGGGATGAAATGGGTGAATTTTAGGGGGAAAACCCGTGTTGTGGCTGGTTTTGAGCAGGTTTTGGTTTGGTTTTGGTACAACTGGTTCTCTGTATTGAAGCCTATTCTCTGCCATCACCACTGTCTTGAAAAGGAGTGAAGAACATGAGTTTTATAGAGTTATTTTTTTAATGTTTATAGAACTGGGTGCAGTGGTGAGTGGGAATAAATCTCCAGCCTCTACCAACCGCCTCCCTCTCTGTCTCTGTGTCCCCAAAGCCCTTCCCTGAGCCCCGGGATCAGGGAGAAATCCCTACATTTTTGGTTCCCAACAGCAGCCACGTGTTGTCCTGCTTCTCTCTGAGGCGTTACCCAGCACTCCCATGTCCATCCCAGGCGATCCAGCTTCTCCCAGGGAGCCAAATCCAGGCCATGGGAATGGGGTGATGTGTCCTCCCTCCTCAGGCTCCACGTAAACACCCCCGTGTGTGGCATTTGAACAAAGCCCTGCTGTCAGACTTTCCCTTCCCAACCTGCTCCCCTCCCTTTGGATCCCTCCAGCCACGGAGACTCCGTGTGCTGCGGCTTCCCTGGTGAAAAGGAAACAACTCCAGCACTGCTGGGATTGAAGGTCTGGCCTGGCTGGATAAATCTTCCCTGCAACAATGGGACCTTTGGCTCCTGCTCAGGGTTGAGTCCTCCCAAGTGCTCCTTATCTCCCAGCCAAGCTCTGGGGTCAGATGATGGAGCTCGTTAAAGTTCTGCCTTTGTTTAATTGCACCACAAGGCTTTAGCAGCATTCCCTGCCTGCCTCCCCCTTCCTTTTTTCCACCTCTGTAGGAATATTTTTGTCCCCAGCCCCTGTGAGGGCAAGCTGGGTGGAAGGTGGTTCTGGGGGGGGGGGGGGGGGGGGAGCATCGATGTGACCCTCAGCTCTGATTTTTGGGCTTTGTTTTTGCCCCAAAAATCGGGTGTCTGGGGCTGCCGTGTTCCAGCCCTGCCCCGTGGCAGCACAGGGAGGCTGAAAAAAAAAAATTACAAAAACTGAAACAAAACAGGGAGGAGCAAGATAAAAGCAACAAGCAGAGAGAGAGGAGGAATAAAATGTCTGAGCCTCGCTGCAGGCGTGGGTGGGTGAACGGCCTGGCAGGGCTGGAAAGACCCAGCAAAGGCCACCCTGGAAACCCTCCCTGCTGCCTTCCCGGGATATTTCGGTGGTAGTTGAGCTGGTGGCAGCTCCAGCAGCCACGGGGATGTGTCTCTGGCCGCCCCAGAGTGACTCATAACTTCTGTGCCTCGCCGGGGAGGCAGCACAGGAATAGTTACACACCAGCGACGCGGAGGGAGTGGCTGCCGAAATATTTCAGGGCTGTGCTAAGCAACTAAAAATACACGTCAAACCCTCCTCCTCCTCCTCCTCCTCCTCCTCCTTTTTTCCTTTTTAAATCTGTTTTCTTTCTCTCTTTCTGGTGTGGTGTTTTCTGTTGTTTTTTTTTTTTTTTTTTAATTCTTGGGTTTGATTGTCGGAGGCCCCTCTGGGCCCCTCGGGGGGTTCTTCGGGGACTGGCGCAGGTTTGGGGGCAAACGTTGGCATCTGGTGACTTCTTGTTTTCCCGGCTTGGTTCCTCTCTCCCTGCCTGTGGCAGTGACTAAGTGGCAGCTTCCCCTGCGTGCCCGGTGCCCGCCGTGCATATCCCGGGGTGCAAAGCCTCTCCTGCTTCTTCCTTTTTCCATGGAGGGGGGGAAAATCCATCCCTGGGAGCTCGTGGGTGTCTTGCTTTGGGCCCAGCCCGTGTCCTCAGAGCCGTGGGTGTCCAGCTGTTGGTGTTTTGGGGTGTCTTGGCTCCTGGCAGAGTAGGATCAGGCGCTGGTGGCACATGGGGAACGGTGCTGTTGGTGCCACGGAAATGGGGAGAGCAGGAGCTGCGTGAGGATGCTCTGGTGGCCCTGCTCGAGGCTCGCTGTCTGCCGGGTTTGGGGCTCATCCCAAATCCTCACTGCCCGCTCTGTGGGCTCATCCCAAATCCTCACTGCCCGCTCCAGGGGTAAATATAGCCTGGCTGGCAGGTGGCAAAGACATGGCATGACTCAGTGGGTGCTCCGACGCCTCCGGGAATAGCAGCTCCGGCCACCCAGCCGTGGTGAGGGTGGCACTGCCACCAGCTCCGTGCACGGGGCCGTCCCCACGGCGGGCAGGCGGAAGGGGCCGCTGAATCATGCCCCTCATTAAGTGCTCGTTAAGAAAATGAAGCTGCCAGCTCGCTGCAGGCACAGGGGCTGCCACCGGCGAGACATCCCACGGGGCTTCTGGCTTGGGGACAAGGGACATGTGAGATGAGCAGCAGCGGTGACAGGCTGGGAGCGTGTGGGGGGACACAGCAGGACGAGCCTGGGGGTGCTGGGACCCTTGTGGGGAGGGGTGGCAGGGTTTTGCTGGTGGGGCCCGGCCAGAGCGTGGTTCGTGGCTCACATCCCTGGCCAGGGGCCAGCCGCTCTTCCCGGGAGGCCCCGGGGCCTGCTCGTTCCTCCCTGGAACTGATTAAAGCACCTACAGCCAAAGCTGGTTCTTGTTGTCCCCCTGCTGTGGTGGGGGAGCACTGTGGGTACCCCGGTGTGCCCAGCGGTGCCCACCTGGGCTCGGGGGTCCCTGTGCAGGGCCAGGACAGGGGGGAGAGCAGCTGTTCCCCCCTGCCCTGGTCCCCGTCCCTCGCCAGCCGGGTTGGGTCGGGATGGAAAGTCTGAACCTGCCGGTCCGGCCGCGGCCGCGCCCCTAATGACGGGTTTGGAGCGGAAACATGGACGGCGGCTTCACCTGGGAGCTGCTCCCTGGCCCTGCCCCAGCCCCCTGGGACACGGGGCCTGGCACCTGTCCCCCCCTCAACGGGGCAGTGGGGACAGCAGGGGGACACAGGGCTCGGTCCGCTCTGCTTTACCTGCGATTTCATCAACCGCGTGTATTCGGGATTTTAATCAACTGCGTTTATTTGGGATTTAATTAACTGCAGCTGTTGGGGGAGGGTAGATCGCAGTCATTCCCACTCGTGCCTCAGTTTCCCCAGTGCCAGCACTGTGTGTCCCAGCCCCAGGGGCTGCTCCAGCCCTGTCCTGGGTGTCACCTGTGTCCCTGAAGCCAGGGCTGAGCTGTCCCCTGCCCTGGCCCGTGCCCTGTGCCACGTCCCGAGCCCTGTGCCATTCCTTTGCCACGGTGTCCCCACACCCCATGCCATGCCCCACACCGTGGTCACGCTGTCCCAACGCCCGGTGCCACACCGTGCCCGTGGGCAGCAAACAGGACGGGCACGCCGTGACGGAGCCTCTTCGCACCAGGAGAACCGCGGGGGCGCAGCGTCGGCACAGCCACCACCAAGGCCCCGCCACCGGGTCCCCTCGGGGGGCCCCCCGGGCGCTGACACCCCCTGATTTATCGCCCTCGTTAGCGCAGGCCTGGAACCATCTGGCAGCAATTAGGCCCCGGCTCGGCGTCACCCGCCCCGGCGTCCCCGCGGCCTCGCCGTGCGCCGGCGTTCGCCGAGACCCTCGGCCTGCAGCGCGGGGGCCGCATCCTGCCCGCACGAGGGGGGTTATCGGCGGCCATCGGCGCCGGCTCCCCCCGCGCCCGTGACGTCAAGCGCTGACGCCGATCCACCCCCTCAGCCGCCCGCGGGCTTGGCCGGCCGTGACGTCTGCGGCCTCCACCGCCACCGCCGTTAACTCCTTCCCCCGGTGACGGCTGAGCGGGGCCTCAAGGGGCTCACGGTGCAGCCGAGATGTTGGGCCTGGCCTGAGTGACCCCCTTGGTGACGGTGTGACCCCCCCACCCCCCGATAAACCAAGGTGGGCCGCCCGCCACGCGGTGGCAAACCGACCCACCGGCACTGGTGCCACCGGGACGCACCGGTGACAAACACCGGGGTGGTGACACGGGACAGGCTGTGATGGGGGAAGTGCGGGGACATGCAGGGACAGTGGTTCTGTCCCAGCAGGGCAGGGCTCGGGCAGGCCCTGCCGTGCCTGGTGCCGGTGGCCTGTCCTGGTTTGACCCGCGTGGGTGGTGGCCTGGCCGTCCCCAGAGGATGCCCTGAGGCCCAGCGGCCCGGTGTGTTTATTTCTTTGTTGTGCCCTTTTGCAGCGGGGGCCTGACCCGGTGCCAGTGCCCAGTGCTGGTTCTGGTGCCAGTGACTGTGCCCAGTATCGCTCCTGGTGCTGGTAACTGTGCCCAGTGCCAGTGCTAAGTGGCTGATTCCCGTGCCCTATGGACGGTGCCCGGTTCCCGGTGCCAGTTCTCGTTCCCATGCCCAGTCCAGTTTTCAGGGATGCTCCCGGTTCCCACTGACCGGCAGCCTGTTCCCGTGCCCGGTTCCCATTCCCACGCCTGGTGACTGGTGCCCTGTGGCTGGATCCCTGTTCCTTGTGCCCGGTCCCGTGCCCCGTGCCTGGTTCCCGGTGCTGGTTCCCAGTCCCTGTGCCCGGTTCCCATTCTCCGGTGCCGGTTGGCAGTCCCGGTGCCCGGTGCCCGTTCCCGGTGCCCGTTCCCGCCCCTCCCTTTGTGCCCGTCAGTCCCGGCGGGGCGGAGGGGGGGGAGGGTGGGGGGTGTGTGCACGTGACCGCCCCTCCCCCGCGCTGACGTCATCCCAGGGCCCCGCGCGCTGTTGTCCCGTTTACCCGCCGGTTGTCCCGGCGACGGCGGGGCCGGTGGGTGGGCGTGGCCCGGCGAGTAGGCGTGGCGCCGCCTCCCCGGGGCGGAAGCCCCTCCCCTTATGCAAACGAGGGCGCGCGAGCACGTCATCTGCAGCCAATGGGTGCCCGGCGCGGTGAGGTCACCGCGGCGGCGCCGCCTATTTAAAGCGGCGCGGGGCGCGCGGCGGCGGCAGACGCGTGTGCGCGCGCGCAGGAGCGGGGCCGCGGCCGGTGCACACCGGGCGCCTCCCCCCGCCCCCTCCCAAATCCCCCCTCCCCGCGCTCGCCCCGGTCCTCCCCCCCCCCTCCCGGCCCCGTTTCCCCCGCAGCCGGGCGGGGGAGGAGGATGGAAACACCCTTCTACCATGATGATGTGTTGAGCGGCCTCGGCAGCGGCTTCGCCCCGTCCTCCGGCAGCAGCGGGCTCCTCCTGCCCTTCCCCGGCGGCAGCATGATGAAGAAGGACGGGCTCGGCATGGCCTTACCGGAGCAGCTGGCGGCGGCTCTGAAAGCCCCCGGCGCGGGCAGCGGCGAGGCGGCGGGGCTGCTGGGCTCGGCCGAGCTGGGGCTGCTCAAACTGGCGTCACCGGAGCTGGAGCGGCTCATCATCCAGTCCAACGGGCTGGTCACCACCACCCCGACCAGCGGGCAGTTCCTCTACCCTAAAGCGGCCGCCTCCGAGGAGCAGGAGTTCGCTGAGGGCTTCGTGAAGGCGCTGGAGGACTTGCACAAGCAGAACCAGCTGGGCGGCGGCGCGGCGGGGAGCGGCGGCGGCGCCGGAGGGAGCGGCGGCGGCGGCGGGAGCGGCGGCGCGGGCGAGCTGCCCGCCGCCGGGATGGCCCCGGAGCCGCCGGTCTACGCCAACCTCAGCACCTACCCGGCCGTCAGCTACGCCGCCGACCCGGGGCCGTTCGCGGCGCCGCCGCCGCGGCTCCCGCCGCCGCCCCCGCCGCCTCCGCCGCCGCTGAAGGACGAGCCCCAGATCGTGCCGGAGGTGCCGAGTTTCGGGGAGAGCCCGCCGCTGTCCCCCATCGACATGGACACGCAGGAGCGCATCAAGGCGGAGCGGAAGCGGCTGAGGAACCGCATCGCCGCCTCCAAGTGCCGCAAGAGGAAGCTGGAGCGGATCTCCCGGCTGGAGGAGAAGGTGAAGAGCCTCAAGAGCCAGAACACGGAGCTCGCCTCCACCGCCAGCCTGCTCCGCGAGCAGGTCGCCCAGCTCAAGCAGAAGGTGCTCAGCCACGTCAACAGCGGCTGCCAGCTCCTGCCCCAGCACCAGCATCAGGTGCCGGCGTACTGACCGGGGGGGCCCGAGCCCGGGCATGGACTTTGAGAGGTCCCGGGCAAGGACCGAGGGGAGCGGGGGGAACGCCCGCCCTGCCCCGGGCATGGACCGAGGGGAACTTGGGGAGCTGCCCGCCCTGCCCCGGGCACGGACCGAGGGGAACCTGGGGAGCTGCCCGTGCGTCCCGGCCATGGACTTAGGGGAGCGGGGGGAGCGCCCATCCCGCCTCGGGAACGGACCGAGGGGTCCCGGGCAAGGAGCGGGGGGAGCGCCCGCCATGCCCCGGGCGCGGACTGAGGGATGCTGGGCATGGACGGAGGGGTCCCGAGGGGAGGAAGAGGAGCGATAATCAAGCCCCCCCCCCCCCCCCAGCTCCCTGAGGGCTCCGAGGGGAGGCCCAGGACCGGCTCCGGGCGGTGGGCACCGAGCACCCCCCCGCGCACGGGCTGCGGCGAGGGAGAAGCTGGGGGTTCCCCTCACGGACCGAGGGGGACCCGGCACCCCCATCCCCGCGCCCCACACATTCCAGTCAGGCCCCAGTAAAACCCCGCGACAAGGAGAATTTGGCCTCTCGCTGTTTGCTGCGCCGGGGGAGGACGGGACGGGACGGGAAGGGAAACGAAGGGAAGGGAAGGGGCGGCGCGGGCAGGAAGCGGCGCGGCCGGGGGCCATCTTGGGGCGGCGGGGGGAGCGGCGAGGGAGGGTTTCGGGGGGGTTTTAGGGGCTTTCTGGGGGTGCGAGTTGTTGGTGGATGGGGAGGAGCGGAGCTGGAGAAGGGGCTCTAAGGAGAGGGGGAGGTTG